AAGATGGCGACGGTGTGTTTACTCTCCTGAAATCCATCCTGGATGTTTTGACTCAGTTTAAAAAGTTGATCTTCTGTGTTGCTGCCTTTTCTGAAGCCTGCTTGGTGTAGGTTTAAGCTGTTAGTATTTTCCAGGTACCAGTAGAGGCGGTTGTTTATCATTCTTTCCGCAAGCTTACTGATACATGATGTTAATGAGATGGGTCGGTAGCTTTTCGCTTCTCCGGGTGGTTTCCCATTTTTCAGGAGCGGTGCAATCTGGGCGATCCTCCATGCCTTTGGTATTCCAGCTTGCCCAAGAGAAGTAGTTCATGTGTGTCATGACATAGTGGAATCAGGCGCTCATCAATTTTTTGTCATATATGTATGGAGTGATTGGTATAATCTTTAGGCCTGTTCATTTTTCTTGCTTTCGAAGTAAAAAAAAACAAAAAACCCATCAATCTTGGATAGAAATCGAGACATGTGAAATTTGAAGGAGGTGGGGGTCACCTGGTGTCAGAGTAAAAATGAAGAGAAAACAGCTGCCACAGTATGTTCACATCCAAAGCTTGAGTGTCCTTGGAAATGCAAATTCATATCTTTGTCAACAAAACTAATTTTCTGGCAACTTCAGAGCAAAAACCCTGAAATTGAGATGAAAAGTAAAATGGAAGTAAACACTTTCTTAACCCTATCCGTACGTTGTGTTTTACTATCGTATCCATACGACGTGGGGAACTCTGTACTGTACCACCACTTTCCAAAGAGGAAATTTATACGTTAAATCTTATCCGTACGCTTTGCATAGCAGTGTGTCAAAATGATTTTTTTTGAGAAATACAGAAAGTTTCAAAGAGACCTTTGCACTAGAAGTCTTCTAAAATGTGAAGAATACAACCCAGGGGGTACAAAATGACCCCAGGGCGTACAGATAGGGTTAAAACAAAAAAAGCAAAATCAAATCACCTGTGCCAGTGGGGTCACCGCCTTGAATCATGAAGTCTTTGATAATTCTGTGAAACTTGACTCCATTGTAGTAACCTCTTCTCGCCAGCTCTGCAAAGTTCCGGCAGGTGTTTGGGGCATGCTTCCAATACAACTCCACCACAATTGTTCCCATCCTTGGAAAAAGTTTTTAAAAATCATCAATGGTACAACTTATAGTACAGTGGCCTCTGTTAAAGTGAAAGAATTTGCTGCACAAAAATCCAATATTCCCAAGAGCCAGATTTTAACAAAAAGCGGAATTCTTTTTTTTTTTTTTTAATCTGCCTAAAAACATGGTCTAAGCAGAGGAAAATTAAACTTTTCGGCTTCTTGGCATCCTGCTTTACCTGTGAAAGCAAAGAGACCACTCTCCAAGGCTGGGACACACGACATGCTGCATTATAAATGTACAACTTGCTCACTCTAATGGCCACCTGTCTAAGGCAATCGCCTCAGATACAAATAGCCATTTCCCTGTTCCCTTCTTGCACATTTTCTACTGTCCAAGATGTCCACCCGAAGACAATATATGTGAGGCAGCGTGGTGAAATCAGGCACTTGTCAAAATAATGGAAGTGAGAAAATGACAGTTTTCCGCAGGTTTGGGAATTTTTATAGAATTTTTGTCTTTTGGCTCAACACCTTTCATCGTGCCCATAAAAGAACACATTTCTGTGTGGATTTTACTGAAAAACGTTGATTAAAGGCACAAAAAAGGCAAATTACCAGTCCGCGCATTGCTTCAGATGGTGCTGGAGTCTTTAAATTTTGAAGCTCTCTTTCGTTTCTCCAGAAGAAGAATAGGATAAGCACAGTCTGTTAATTTCACTTTATTGTTTTTCACACAAGTAGAGTACTATCTATGTTCGCAAAGTCCACACTTTTTCGAAGAGGGCGCCACCAAATTTTGAAGACAATTTTTTAATTGGCTCAAAGAGAGGAGTGAACTATGTTGTTATACATGATCTTTGTCCCTAGGTGATGAGGGGGGGAAAAATGAGGAAATGCTAGGCCCTAGGCCCAATTAATTTCCATCCTTCTTTTGAAACGCCCTCCTGTGCCAATAATATTTTGCAGTATTCAAACACCCTGTGCAAATATAATTTCATAGTATTCACACACCCTGTGCAAATAAAATTTCTTAGTATTCACAGAGTATTCACACACCCAGTGTGAATACAATTCCCATAGTATTCACACACCCTGTGCGAATAAAATTTCGTTGTATTCACAGAGTATTCACACACCCAGTGTGAATACAATTCCATAGTATTCACATACCCTGTGCGAATAACTACAGCCTATTTTTATTTTCACCACAGGTGAGAATAACGACAGCCATTTGTAAATCATAGCCATATTGAAGACTTTAAAAAAAGAAAAATTACAAGTTGTACATTACATTGAGCAGTGACATGAAGACAAAAAAATTAACTTCCTTGAAACTACTGTGTATGCCACTAATTGACACCTGTAACTTCGATATTGAAAGACATCCTCTGTATAGCGACATGGCGCCCAGTTCCGGATTTTTTCTTAATATAGAACTATCATATAATTTTTAGTTGCCTCTCTTCTATAACAACTCTCTATATATATATATAACAACATTTTTTTCTGGGTAGCGTCAATTGCCACCGAGTGAAGCGGTGTCAAGTCTGAAAACAACACTATCTTTAGCATTATTTATACATAATAATGTGTGTCCAATGGGTCAATTTGTTCTCAACTAATTTCATTGGACGAGCATCTAGCCTAGAGCTACGGTACCAACTTGGCGTGTTTTCAATGAGACATATCTAGATCTAGGCTCTCCTTGGCCTACACTTTGGAGTAGAACCAACACAGGCAATTCTAGAAGTAGGCCTAGAAGGTCACAAACGCACACAAACTCAAGCAGAAATTCACGTTATATCAGGGAACTTAAATCGGGGGACGGGGGTCAGAAAGACACACACACACACACAGAGGCGAACGCACAACACCAAGCACTCGAGCACAATAACTTATAAGCTAGATCTACCCACAAACGCAAAAGAGCTCCAATTTACTCGGTGGCAAATGACAAAAAGTCAGTTTTTGTCAACCGCCACCGCGTCACTCGGTAGCAATTGACTACCTTTTTTCTGGGCCTGACGAAGTCGTTTATAGAGAGGCTGCTCTGTGCTTTTACTTTTGGAGTCTTTTCGGATTTCCTGCATGCAGATTTTGGGTAGGGACAAAGGTTCAAACCTGACTATTAGTGAAGGAGACAAGCAATCAGTAAAATGTTAGCTGCCAATGTCTAAGTGGGAATAACAAAAATTTAGAAAATAAAAAAGTTTGCGGGACCACAACTTACGAGGTATCAATTGTGACATGACTTGGTTGCCATGATTTCTTGGGAATACTGGATGACCCTCCAGAAGATGAAATAACGGACATTGCCAAATCACACTCTGGCCTTCCTGAATAAAAAGCAGTATAAACAGTAGTTTACGTTAATCTTGTCTAAGTGTAAGGTAGGTGTAAGTTTCCCCGACTTAAGTAGTCAGCGTACAAGATCTAGCCTACACAAGTACACAACACACACCACTGCCACCGGCACAGGATTCCAAGCCAAATGGTGTAAGTCAAGTCAAGTCTTATAAGTCATGCCCTTTACAATCGCCTCGTTCTTTGCATACAATACACTGCTGTACGTAATTTATCTTCTCCTTACAGATTCCAAAGGACTGGGACAGAGTAGAAGGTGAAGGTTCAACACTTTTCTACTCTTCTAATCACAAAATTGTGTACACAATGAAAAAATGAAAGTAGAATCTCTGAGAAGAATAAAGCTCTTCCGCCTTCCAGATTTTTACATAATTCTGAAAAAACTCCGTTCATTAGCTTTTGATCTGCTGAACTCTTTTTTTTAATTACTTAGATTAGATCATATTAAATAAATTGACTACCACTCTCATGCACTGACAAAATTGAGATCTGAGGTGCTGCATTCGTCTAACTGGTTCCCCTTCATAATATTTTGAAGCACTTAACAGTCTCACTCACATTCAAATAGCTCAATGTGCACACATGCCTTGCTTCAAGTAAAGAGCAAATCAAATGTGTATCCACAATTGATTTCACGAATCTGTAAACTCAGTAAACTGTAGTTGTTTGTTGATCAGGAAACGGTGCAGGCAGGTGTGTCTTGCAACTACAAGGAGAAAAGGTATGGTTTTTCTCCCTGTCAGGTTTGCTTCTCATGACTAGTGTATGGTAAAACTATGAGGAAATGAATCATTTATGGTTATATCGTAGAGATATGATATGCTATTGTCATTGTAATGATGGGGGCAATCAGAGTAGCCAACAAGGAAGGCAAGGTATCGGAAAGATCACTGATCTCTGCTGCACGCGTTTTGTTGGGGGGGGGGGGGGGGGGG